ATGAAATACAATTTATTTATTATAGTTTTATTTTTAAACTATTTTTTCTTTTCTTGTTTATTATCTTGTTTATTTCTTTGTTTCTTTTCATTATTATTCTTATTTGATTGTTTTTATATCGTTTTTGAACTTATTCTCTATTCTCTTTATATTTAATTTCATTTACTTACTTCATTTCTTCCTTCATATCTTTTTATCTTTTTCATTTTCTATTTAATATTTTCTTTAATGCTTTTAATTTATTAATTTGATTTCTTTTATGTCTATTTGTCATTCTTCTTTTCTTTATTTATATTCTCTTCTTATTATTGTTTTATTATACAATTCTTCTACTCTTCTATCGTCTTATTTTCATCTCTTTTTATTTCTTTCATTCTTTTTATTTCATGTTACTGTTTTATTTCTTCTGGTATATTCATCAACTGATTTTATTATTTATTATTGTTTTGTCTATCATATTATTTATTTTTATTAGTCTAACTCAATTACATTCTTTGTTTACATGTCATTAACTTGTTATTCTCTAAATATGTAATTCATTATGTTTTATATCATTTTCAATACAATTGATAAATTTCATTTTATATATTCATTTGTTTTTCATATTTTATGTAATTTTGGAATTATCTATTCTAACCTTTCTTCTTTAAATGAATTATTTTTACTTCATCATTGATTGTTGTTATTTCATTTTCGTTTTTTATTCATTACATTTTCTTCATTTTTTTCATTCTTTTTCTTTCATTCAAATTTTCTTATTCATTCTACTCAACTTTTTTACACTCAATAAACAAGTAACCATTATTCATTTTTCAAATATTTATTCTTATTCTTCTTTTGACATAGTTTATTATATTTTTATCATCATTACATTCACTTTTATTGTGTTTTTCTATTTAAACTTTCTTTATTTCTATTATTTAAATATACTATTTCATTGTTATTTCTCAACTTTCTTCAACAATATCTTCATTATGATTTTTGTTTATTTTATTATTTCTTTTCTTATTATTATCATTTCATTTCTTCATTAATCCTTGTTCTTTTCTTAATTTCTCTTTGAAGATGTTAAAATAATTTTGTTTAATACTCATCTCTTTTTTATTTCATTCACTTTTAAACAACTCGTTTAGTTATTTTCATTTTTATGTTGTTTTGATTTATTCTTATTCATCATTTTCTTATTATCATGTTGTTTCATTTTCATATATAATTGAAGAATTTTATCTATATTCTCAAAGGATTATTATTTATTAAGAAGGTATTATTTATCAAGAATTATAATTTATTAAAGAAGATGCATATATTATTGTTACTGTTGTATGTACATTTGAATATAATAATATTATCAAAGAATAATTTTTCTTTAAGTGGTGTCGGAGATAAAGGAGATGAGCTATAACAGTATGTTATGGATATACTCTCATTAAAACAACACTATAAAGAATGAGAAATATTATATTACTCATTAAAATCAAAATAAAAGTCAGGCAGTAACTTAAATGAAAAATAGTTTAAGTCGAGCATGCTTGAAAAAACAATATTTGAATAGAAATAAAGCATTTTGATGAAACTGATTCACTCACTTCTCAACATGATGAAAAACCTAAAAATAAGGTTAATCATAATTGATTTATTTTCTTAATGTTTTGGAATTGGTTTGATTTTGTATTTTATTTTTATTAATTCCCACTCACTATATGTAACACTGCCATCATATCCTATTCTTTTCTCTCTTCTCATGTACTCAGTTTTTAACTTTACAAATCCATTTTTTACTTCAACAACTTTTGTATATTCCTTCTCTTCAATAATAACTTTTTCATTTTTGACAATTCTCTCAACATTAAGAGAAGGTAAACTGCTTGCCCACGTTAAAAGCATTTCAATTTCTTCTTCGGACCTACTATTATCCATTCCTTTACATGGACATGAATCTACAAAAAACATTGGTATTTTAACTATTTCTTCTCCTGTTGTTTCTTTAGCTAATTTTATAAATGCTGGAAGAAACTTCTCTTTCTTTGATTCTATTTGTCTTACTAGTTTCTTTTCTGGCGTGTCACATGAACATTTAGTCCATACAATACATACATGTTCCCAAAAATTGGATCTTGGAAATATTTTACATATCATTTTTATCATTGTTTTAATACTATCTGATAATTTAGTATTAGTAATATTTAAAACAATAACAATAGCTTGTAATCCTTCTTGTTCTTTAATATAATTCACCATTTCACTCATATGTTGTCTGTCTTTATTTATACCACCATTAGAATCATCAAAACCAGGTGTGTCAATTACAAATATATCACTTCTATCACCTTCTCCATAACACCCTCTTGTTTCTTGTGTTACTGATTTAGCAGCATCACTTGTTTCAAATTTATTGTCTTTCAGAATAAAATTACCAAGTGAACTTTTACCATCACCTGTTTTTCCAATCAGAAGTAATTTAGTTTTTTTTATATCACCATGTTGTATTGAATAATTGCTACTCATTGATTAATATTCAGTTATAATTCGTTTAAATAGTAATTCATGATGAAAAGTTATAATTACCATATATTTAAATGATGTTTATCATTTTTGTTTACAAAGTGTAGTAAAAATAGAAGTGAAACAACTCCCATTTGAAATTATTGATTACAAAATTATTTTATGTTGAAAATGGTGTTTTAACGTAATGATAATTATATTGCTTTATAAAATTAGATGAATGTTCTTTAAAATTATTGAAAGAATATAACTTCTTCAAATTTTTTATATTATTTTATCAAAAATGATTTACATCAATATTTAAAATAGGTGATTTGTATTTATATATTTTTCTTTTTGATTCAAATAAATAAACAGTTACAATCGGAGTTAGTTAAATTCATGTTTCAATATTATTTTATAAGACGAAATTTTATAATTTTTTTGTTTGTTTTTTTTTTCACTTTTGTGCATTTATGCTTTATGGGTAAACTTATTAAATTACAAATTTGATTAAACAATAACATGAAAAACAGGGGGTAATATTTTGATAGTATAATTATGGAGAACATTATAAGAATGGTTTTAAATTTAATTGATTTTCACTAAAATTGTGTATTTTATGTAATATAAGTTAGTTTGATTCTATATATTACCAATAACGTTTTCCTACGTTTGTCAATAAAATGATAATTGTAGATACAAAAAAATACTACATAAATCCCACAAAAACACACAACATCAATTTTATATATTTTCTATTAATTATATTCTTTGCAACAAATATTGAAAATTGATGGTTAATGACTTTTAATTTATTATAATTATTCTTATAGTTAGTTGTATTTTATCAATTTAAACTTCAATAAAAATAGTAAGTCATTTATCATCAATTATACTTTATTCTTTTGAAATAACTTTAATATATTCATATAGTTAATATGATTTTTGATTAAAATGAATGGATATAATTCCTTAATTCTCGTGTATTTACAAAATAATAACGTTTTATAAAATTACTCTTATATTTTCATTGAAAAATATTTTGGATTATAAACAAAAGTATTATGAAAAAAGTATAAATTATACTTCTGGTAAGAGACTAGTACTCTTCTTCTGATTCTTCTTCGCTTATTCCAAGAATCTGACTAATTCCAAAACCATCCATAACAAGTTCAAACACTGCACTACCTACGTTTGCAAGTAAATCAAAAAATCCTTTTTTTGATTTTTTTTTATATTGTTTTGGAATTGGTTTGATTTTGTCTTTTGTTTTTATTACTTCCCAGTCACTATATGTAACACTGCCATCATATCCTATTCTTTTCTCTCTTCTCATATATTCAGTTAGATACTTTACATTATTCCCATCATTACCAATAACACGAGTTTCGTTTTTCTCTTCAATAATAACTTTTTCATTTTCTATTCCATTTTTGACAACTCTCTCAACATTAAGAGAAGGTAAACTGCTTGCCCATGTTAAAAGCATTTCAATTTCTTCTTCGGATCTACTATTATCATCATCTTCATCTGGACATGAATCTACAAAAAACATTGGTATTTTAACTATTTTATCTCCTGTTGTTTCTTTAGCTAATTCTATAAATGCTGGGAGAAACCCCTCTTTCTTTGATTCTATTTCTTTATCTAGTTTCTTTTTTGGTGTATAACAAAAACATTTAGTCCATACAATACATACATGTTCCCAAAAATCGGATATTGGAAATATTTTACATATCATTTTTATCATTGTTTTAATACTATCTGATAATTTAGTATTAGTAATATTTAAAACAATAACAATAGCTTGTAATCCTTCTTGTTCTTTAATATAATTCACCATTTCACTCATATGTTGT